CCCCAGTCAGCGCACATGCCCGGGTTGTGGCTCGATCCCCAGTAGAGGGCATGCAGGAGGCAGCCAATGAATGATTCTCTCTTATCACTGATGTTTCTATCTCCCTCTCCCTCTTCCTTCTGCTCTGAAATCAGTATTTTAAAAAAATCAAACCAGGAAATGCATAAGGTAGAAACTGAGGGTGTTCGCAGCCGCTGTCGCTCTCCAACGCCTGCACCGCCTCCAGCTCTCGGAGCTCCAGCTGAAGGAGAAGGGGGTAAGTACAGAGGTCTCTGCGCCATGGCTGCTACCAAGCAGACCGCCTGCAAGTCGACTGGGGCAGAGCGCCGCGGAAGCAGCTGGCTACCAAAGCCGCCCGGCAGGGTGCGCCTTCCACGGAGGGTGAAGCAGCCACATCGTTACCGGCCTGGCACCAGGCACTTCGTGAAATCAGACGTTATCAGAAGTCCACTGAGCTTCTCATTCACAAACTTCCCTTCCACCCTTCCAGGGGTGTGAGAAATTGCTCAGGACTTCAAAGCAGACCTGCGCTTCCCAAGGGCAGCGACTGGTGCTTTGCAGGAGGCAAGGGGGGGCCTGTCTGGGTGGCCTTTTTGAAGACCCCAACCTGTGTGCTCTCCACGCCAAACGTGTAACAATTACGCCAGGAGACATCCAGCGAGCACGCCGCACACCTGGAGAACGTGCTCAATCCTACCAGACCTGAAGCCCTGGACGTAACTGTCCCCTACACCTGGGCTCCTGAGCGTTAAAGAGAAAAAGCCAACGTGATATAGAAAAATGTTACATGCAAACAAGTGGTTAGAGTAAGATGGAACTTGGAGACATTGTAGGAAATAGGTCTACCTTTCATCTAGTGCCAATATTCCACCTTTGTGTGGAAATTACCGAAAAATCGGTACAGTGGTCTTGTAGGGTTAAGATCCACTTTTTAATATAAATGCGGGGACATAAAGCATTAATGCAAGTCAAATGTTTCAGTGAACAAGTTTCAGCAGTTCAACTTTATAACAATATAAAAAACCTGTTAAATTTTTCTGGACAATGCCAGCATTTGGATTTTTTTAAAACAAGTAAATTTCTTATTGATGGCAAAAAAAAAGTAGAAACTGAGGATGATCTGCTAACCCAAGGCCCAGAGTTTGGCGTGTGCCCTGTCAGTCATTAGAACTGTGAGAAGGAAAAGGTTTGTCTTTTCAAACACAAAGGCAATGAGGAAGAGCGCCGCCCGGGCACAGAGCTGGAACCTGGCTCCACTATTGGCAACACTTGTGTCTGAGCCGACAGGAGTGTGGAGAGGAAAGGAGAGTGGGGCAGGTAGGAGAGTGGGTCGGGTAGGAGTGTGGGGCGGGTAGGAG